CTGATTAAAATATTAAACATTTCAGGAAAACATGGAGTCCTCATCATCTCCCAGTTGTCTTTCGGAACCGGCCTTCCATGGCCGCTTTCGGCAGCTAACATCACCAAATATAAAATTCTAGACTACGAACTGTCAACTTGTCCAAAGCATGCCAAGCAACCAAACTACCACTCAACCCATCTAACACATTACAATTCTGCATATAACAGACAAAATTGGCAAAAGAATCTGCACAAGAGTATAGGCGTAGCTAGGGAAGGGCTTATACTGGAAATTCATAAGAAAATAAATAGTCGAAGATCGAAAAAGAAAAATGGTGAAAAGAACAATTTACCAGACAAGTAAAAAAGCAAAAGAACGTAAGAAGAGTTCGAAACAAGAGCAAATGACTTGGTTTCTGCTTATGCTGATTGATGGTGGAGAAAAACAAAAGTAAAATTGTTCCATAGATCCCTAAACCAACTCCACGTGCATGTCACTGCTTAATGAAAGCATGTCCTCTTTGCTGCCATATAATACCAGAAATCCTAGTAGGAGTGGACCATATATGGCGTAAATGCCATTCTAGAAGTCTGTAATTTGAGCACCTTAGTCACCAAATTCTAATGAATATCCATCATACTCTTAGAAAATAGGGAACAAATAAAAAACACGAAACTGGCAAACATGAATATCCACCATGTAAGCTTACAAGACAGTAAACCCAACAGCCATGAGGATCGCAGTCACTCCTGTCTGTGGTGACCTCAGCATGTACTCATCGATCAACACATATTCCTTCCTTCACCACCTCTATTTGCATTTGCATTCATTGTGATTCTTAGAAAAAAACTCTTAAATATTGGACAAAACATTTCCTGGTTTCCATTGCCTAATATTGTCCAAAACTTGTCAAAACCCTGCTGCTTAAAAGTCTTGCAAACTGTGTCCTCTCTTTTCCAGTTATCATCCTTCCTGAATATCATCAGTAGATGATTGAGCAAAAATGATATTCAATTTTCTCTAATTGTGTGACCAACATCCACTATAGATTTTATTGCTCTTTATAGTCCATTGCGCCTCAATAACAGAAGCTATTTCTCTTTACCATCTACATGTCACCAGTCTTAACCACTAGATTAGTTATTGTAGTTTTGTTATCATTCATATAATTCATTGCTAACCCAAACCCCTAGTGGGTGGAACTGCCTGAAGTCAAGACTAGTCTAGAGCTAAAAAACAAGCATCCGTTATGGTTTCGGAATAAGAAAGAAGAGCTTCCAAGTTGACTCCTGCTTGTACAGAACCATATAAAAGTTAACGAGATTTTAAGCAGGCCAAACCATTCTCAGAAACTCAACCACAAACGCAGATAAGAAGAATTTTAATCAAATATTTTTTTCTCAATAGATTAAAAGTAAAAGAAAGAGAAAGAAAACCACAAATATATTACTCAGTCATACACAGTAAACATAAGAGTTCTAAGTCAGATAAAAGCAAAAGAAGGAGAGAAATGCGCAATTATATTACTCCAACAGAAATATTGCTCAGTGGAAATAATATAAGTAGATCATTTATTTGTGCCTGAATTGTACCATTAAACTATCAGCTATCACATGTTTAACTAATGGTGAAAAAAACAAAAGAAACTTGTTTAAAAATTTAATTCTACGGAAATTCATATACAAATCACAACGGTATAGAAATACTATCTTCATTTGTGGGGCTCTGTACCCTCCCTTTCTATCAGCGAGGGTGCAGGTGGGGTCATAGTTTCATCCTTACCTCTTACATAAGACTCTTCTTTCAGTGTGGAAAGTGGCCTATCTGGACTATAAAATCCCTTTGAAAGTCTGCTAGGACTTGGAGAACCACCAACGCTAAACTTAGTTGGGCTTGAGTTGCTCCCCAAAGGAGAATTTGGAGCAGATCTAAATTCAACCACTCCATCTTCACGAGCCAAAGGTGAAATTGGTAGCTGGCTGCCACTATCCGTTTGTTTTCTATAAAACTTTTCTTCTACAATGTCATAGGAATTCCCAGTCCTCACTTCCTGAGCAAGAGAGCACCAACAACAGCAAAGCCACAGCGTGCAATCAGCCAGTGCTGGTTCACCAAAACAGAAGTTATAAGAAGGCAAACTGAATCTCTTTCTCATTTGGATCCTCCAAAAGCCACCATAGAGCAAACCAAATACACAGAGAACAAGCCCAGTAACTCCAAGAGCCTCCCGAACAGTCTCATTGTCTATATTAACAGCAGCCAAATTAAAAATCCAGAAGGGAGCCATGCAAAACAGAACAAATGTCATAATGTGAACATACATGTTCCCAAATCCAAGCCTCTCCATATTCCAGCCGAACACACAAAAACCACAAAACAGTGAAAGATATGCTAGAGAAATATCATCCCAAATATCAAGTACCCCTCCATTCCATTGTGGTCTATTCTCAACGACACGCTGTTCATTCCTTGCTGCAAAAGAATATTTTCTCTCAAATGATTTTAACCTTAACCTTTCTTGTCCTTCACCGGTGCCAATCCGAACCTGTGCTTCCTCATCCACCAACTCTGAATCATAATCCTTCCCAAGGGGACTGATAATGTTGTATATACCAGCAAATGCAGGGGCACCAATAGCAAAAGTTATACATATTCCAACTCCTATGGCTGGTCGTTGAGATCTCCTGTAACCCAGGTTTAAGCCGCAAAGAGCATATTGACCAAAGCAATTCAAATGAAGAAGACCAACAACCACCATCATGTGGGCCCATTCATGTGGCTTGTAAGTCCCATTTTTACAGTAAATCTTTCTAAGTCTAGAAATGTCTTCTGGTTTCCATCTACACAGAAGTACAAGGTGGTAGAACCGCTTTGGATGTTGGTACAAACACATAAGAGTAAAAAGTGCATTGAGAATTTGATTATTGACTTCAAACCATGCATCTCTTTGGGACTTCTTGGGTATTGCCTTGTTCAACATTCCAGTCATGACAAGAAACAGAATTGCACCCGAAACAGCAACACAGGTGATCCACACAAAAAGAGCCATGTTCATTGGGTTCCTAATCCATTGTTTGCTCATTTTCATGAGTGAAACCCAATCAATTTTCCGGGAAAAAACCCCGTTGATTCGTTCTTTAAAACCATGACCAATCGAAACCACAGATCTTGAGATCTCATCTCTCTCCTCAGCTAGGCGCTTGAATCTTGCAGATGCAGAACCAAATTTGAGGAATCTTATTCTATTAGGAACAGCATCAGGGAACCTTTTTGGAGACTTTACATTGCTTAACAATGTCTTCTGAGATATTGAAACGTCAAAGGGGATCTGAGCCTTCACTTCACTGCCATTAGATTCTTCAATTTCCTCTTTGTGGTTTCCATTATCAGTTGAAACCATTTTCAAATCAAGAACAAATTTTTCCAACCAATATCAGAGTTGTGGCATCAAGGTCCCAACGTGTACGTTTTCTTCAATATTTCCACTGAGGTTGAAAGTTGAAATCCGGGTAATACATCACATGGAATATTGAGCATAAAAGAGTTCTCGGAAAGAGGAGAAGCAAAGAATCTACAAGTAAAGAAACATTGAAACAGAAGACTTTATCCCGGAAGCAACCCCAATAACCAAAACCATTAACCAAGAGTAAACTATCATATATAGAATTCGACCCAGTTGACAAAACACAAAACATGAGGGATTCGACCCAGTTGATAAAACACAAAACATGAGCATAACCTCATGTAAAGAACAAGAGGCTGCCACAATAGCCCTTACAAGCTAAGCATCACTATTAATTAACAACCATAATTTTACAACGAAAGGTAAGCATCACACTTCAAAATCCAGAAACTGATTCAAAGAACCATCCTTTCATCAAGAGAGTAGTCACAGAAACAATGGGAAAGCACCCAGAACGTAAAATTTACACATTTTGTTTTATATTAAAAACGAAGATGATTGATGGCCAGATGAACATACGCAAGAAGAATTAATCAGATAAAAAATTGCAACTTTAATAGTACAGTGAAGAAATGTAAAATCTACTGTACATACAAAAAAGCAAAGATTAAGGCATACCTAAAAAACGACGAAGAAACATAAGAGAGTGGAAGAAGCTTTGAATTTGGGTCCGAATAGAAATTGAACACCTCTGTTAGTAAATAATCAAATAGCCTCCTCCATTGAATTTGAGGTTGCTAGTCGCTAAAAAGGACAAACTGCTCAAGATTTTGCAAGTTACAATAAGATCAGGTATGGCGCACTTGCAAAAGTGGGTGGCGGGGGCCGACTTCATGAAAAAAGAAAACATCCAAACGGCGTCGCTTTGTATGTCTTTGGCCTGCTGTTACGAACTACGTCGTTTCTGCTCCTCGGGCTTGCTTGCCATTGCTGCCCTTTGATTGAGGTGAAAGCTGAAAGCTGAAAGCTGAAAAGCATCTCAACGGAGCGATGTCATGTCATGTATTAAAAATATTCGAAGCTTGGCATCATAATCAACATTGAATAATATTAGCTGTTTTTGGCGCTGGAACTCTCCTAGTTGCGCAGAAAAACTTGTGTGAAATGATTCCATTAGACACGTGGAATGGAGCCATTGGACTTGTTGTTCTGTATTTTGCGTTACCCTTTGGTGAAGGTCAACTGGTCAATCATGCATTTCCCAACCACTTGGACAGGATGGAGGAATTCTCCCATTGCTGAAATTGTCACAGTCAAGCTCAGGATCTAGCATAATCCCTCTATGAAAATGAAACACGAGCACTCAAGACTATGAGCAACGCTATGGTCAATTGTATATGCGTATGTTCAGTTAATTTCTGATCGCCGTTGTTTGCGAGAAACGCCTTTTGTCAACAATCAGAAACTACACGCCTGCTTGCTGATGACTAATCTAATTGTGACATGATTGATGTTTCATGATCTTAATGAATTGGTGACACCATGTAGCGGTGATGCGACAGAAAAGTTTCTTGCTTACCAACCAATGCTCATTTACTTGACAAATTGATACGAGTGTCAAAAGTGAACATAAATCCCATACATTTTAGAAGCAAAGGCAATTCATACCATGGCTGTCGAATATACATACATAAATCCCATCGAAGCTCATAAAAAGTCAAAAACACTCTGATTAAAAAAAAATCCAAAAACAACTACAATTTAATACCAGTACATTGCCCATGATCATAAAATTCAATCTTCAAGAACAAATGGAGAACCACACAACATTTCATAACTTTCGAACTCAGGTAAGATCATCCTCCTCCAGTTCCTTGGATTTCAGCTTTTCCTTCACTCTCAGCAGTAAGGTTGTCTTCCATGAATCCTACACATAAATTCACACAGAACATCATAATAAGAATGCGTCATTTCGACATTGGATTGAAAACGTTATAAGCTGAAGGAAACGCAAAGAATGAACATAGGTTTCTAATGGAACCATAGTATCACATTTGAAGAAACATACCAGTGGGGTCATACTATCAAATTCCTTAACCACATCAGTGAACTTGGCAACGTCTTCCTCATCAACCGATGCTGCAATATCCTGCCACAAAACAAAAGATTTCTTCATGACAATGACTTCCTCAAAATAGTGATCTTGTTTGGTGATCAAATTACTACTTTTAAACAAAATAATCTGAACTGAAATTCTTCCAATATCAGAGTAACTCACCGCTAAGAACCTGTATTCCCTTGTTCCTGAAAAAGTAGGATCTAATTCCTGCATAAGTGCAAACATTATGTAAGTACGCCAACTGATACAGTACAATATCAAAATCCTAAACAAGAGCAAAATTTAGACCTGATATCGCTCTAATGCATTGGTGATTGCAACAGAATCTCCTTTACAAAGTTGGCATATTCCAGCATTGAGAAGATGCCCTTTAACTCCATACTTGAGCAAGTTATTGTTGAGTGAGTGCCGAGCAATTTCTTCATAGATTTCAATAGACTTGGGATACCTGCAAAGTAAAACACAATTTTCATTTATTTTCCCACATTTGCATCAATGAAAAGCAATAAGTATGTCTCCTAAATAAACTGAAAAAAGGTTACAGCTTTGTATGATTATTCATTTTAAAGTAGAACAAGGTTCTAATCAGATTTTTTATTTTAAAAAAACAAGTAATGCTGGAAAAGTAGTAAGAATACACACAAAATGCCATTTAAAGTAGAACAAGTTTCTAATTAAATAAGAATCACCAAGTAAAGCAGGAAAATGGCAAGAATACACACAAAATGTTTGTGCTATCAAATGCTGGGTAGACAGACTTACTGTTCAATCTGAGCAGAAAATTGAGCAACTTTCTGCTTGCACTGATTGGCCGAAGTTGTTACTTCTTCATTTTGGAAGAAATCAGCTGCCCTTTCAAAGAACTCAATAGCCTTCTCAATGTTTTGTTCAGATTCATATAGTTCGGCAATTTCCTGCAAAGGGAAAAATGTATCCCATGTTACAGAATGACATTTATGGTTTCCATAACATCATAAACTACAGACGTATTCTGCAGATAAGCATCAAGGCCCATACGAGTTCCCATCTTCTATTCTTTTCTATTACATACTCTATCTCCTATTAAGTTATTTCAATCATTTTGTATTAATTCATCCCATGTTAGTCTTTAACAACTTCTTGATATATTCTACCTTCTATTTTAATTAAGCTTTGGTTTTGGGTGAATTTAGCAGTCTACATTGTATTACTCTATCTAGAACTAGCTTCTCTAATTGTCAGAGCAAACAAAGTTAGGATGGAAAAGGGAACTGCACACCATTGCAAGCAAAAATTTAAAATACCATCTCAAAACAAAAGATGGATTTCCATAAAGCTGTGAAAACAATACCTTATAATATCTTGCAGCCATATTAAGCCTTCCAATATCACACAGTAAATTTACAGCCTGCTCTAAGCAAGAAATGGCCTCTGCAGAAGACAAGAATTAAGATTATACTATTCATAAGTAGATAATTAAAAATGGAAATGCAAGCAACAATGGTTTAAAACTATAGCATGACCAAACTATATAAATTCCATTCCACCAAAGTAGTCGTAGTACCATATAATAACAAGATGAACTAAAGGGAAAGTACTTAACACTAACCAACTACTCTACCCAAGTAGCTTAGTTTGATTTAAACTGTTTCAAAAGCCATGATCCAGCTAACACGGCTGAAGTTCCTTTTAGCCTAACAAGGGATAACCAAAATATCTATGACTTACGGTGCAAATGGAATTAACTATGTCAAATTTTGTATTTCTAATAAAAACAATTTTATTTCAGATGACTTTTTCAAAATGTCTAATTCCAGACTGAAGCTTGTATATGTGAGCCATCTCCTTTTGCAAAACTGAAAGCCTAAGCAAACAGGTTGGCTCATATTCTTGATTTTCCAGATGATTATTTCCCCTTCCAGGACTTTGTGGGCTGTGAGGAAGCATCATAAATGTAAGATGTAACATAATACAAAACATATACATACCATTTACAGATGATTTCTTGTAGCAATGTGCAGCATCAACATAAGCTGTGGCTGCTTCATGTTTGCTGTCAGACTGTAATGGAAAAGCATCACTATCTTGTTTTGTTAAACACAATTAAAGTAAAAGAAATTGCCTAGTCCTAAACATCAAAATCAGGGACCTTCAAATGACAGTTTGCCAACTTGACATATGTTGCTCCAGCTTTGTCCCCTGAAATATCATATTGCAAATATTAAAAAGCCATTAAAGTGGCCAGAGAAAAAAATTCAGTTTCAACAACTCAGTGATACTGTAATTGAAATAACCACCACAGGACCAAAATGATATGAGGTTTCTTCTCTGGCAGGAACATACCACATAAAGCTTTATATTCAAGCTATTAACAAAAAAAGTTTGCAGCTTTCAAACTTCAATCTATTTAAACAACCCAATCCAACTTTCAAGCATCAAATCCATCACGTTTTACACCAATAAGCAAATTCATCAGAGCGCCAAGCCACTCAATTAAAGACTATCCATTTTCCATATTATTCAATTCAAGAACTCCAATTCAAACCAAATTCAAGCCTTTCCATAAAAAGGAGATCCAAACAAACCCTAAAAGGTCAAAAAGAACAGAATTTGTTTATCAGATCTAAAATATGAAACACTAATCATCCAACGGAGAAAAAAAAATTGCAGGAAAATCCATTCTCATTAAATCAAGACACACATTTGTGATCAAAACCCACGCTTGGGTAAATGCAATCGCCCCAAGGCTATAGACATCAATAACCCCCACTAGGAGATCCCCAATTATTCATCTAGCTGTGATTATCATTCCAATTACATTTTCTCGGCAAGCAAACAGACCAATAAGGAAAATGACGGAGAAAATAGCCGATCGCGAGAAAATAAAGGAAGTAGAAAGGGGAAAACTCACAGGATTTGCCGAGCTTGTAAGAATTGGCAGATTTATCGAAGAGTTCTGCGGCGTCTTCATGTTTGGAACCGAAAAATCCCCAGCTACTCAGTTTCTTCTCTGCTTTCTTTTCGAATTCCTCCGCCCTAGCAATATGATCACCCATTCTCTTCAATCTTTCTTTTTTCCTTTTTAAAATCTGATTTCTGAGTTTCTGAGTTTCTGAGCCGCAGAAACGAAGGCTAATAAGTGAAAAGAAAAAACAGAGGTCGCGACGGGAATTAATATTGTCAAGCAAAGTTCTCGAAATTTCAAGGAAGGCGAGCCTGGTCACGTAACACGTTAGCCGAGGATTTTTCTAATTAATCTTAACTTTATGATTAATCTCAAATTTCTCGACTTTACTTTAATTATTTTCCGCCGATCTCGTATTTAAGCGATTTATTTCAAAATACCAACTAAATGGAAAAACTTAACCCAAAAAAAATAAAACTTGAGTTATGTAACATTGTTGAATGGTCACTTGACTAGGTACGCCTTGAAATTTAATTTCCCACCTAGCTACTCATTTGTCATTGTAACAAACACCATCATTGAGAATTCAATTTTTCATTATTCTCCAAGCCAAAGGTGATATGCTAGACAATTCAAGTTTTCAAGTTTTCATTATTTTCCAATGTAACAAAACCATTATAAGAAAATGACAAACGACAATGATGATACACACGCCGAAACTATATGTCGTTTCTTAAATGTAAATTGTGTAAAAAGGTATGATAGAGAGAACTTAGGTTGACCTTGTAATAGTGTAAAAAAACTAAAACCCACTCTAAAACAATATGAAAAACTCTCTCAAAACTAAATAAAAACTAAACAACTAAGAGAACTAACTAGGAAAGCAATTCATCTTTAATTAAAAAAACAAAGCAGCTAACTTGCACGCACGTTTTGGAGTCGTTTTACCTTCTAAAAAAAATATGAAAAATATGGGAAATGTAGCTCTATCTTTTAGATTTCTAGATATATATCATAAATCACTTGGAAAAATCAAGATAATCTCGAAATCTTCGATAAAAATACCAAACAAATTGAAGAAAAAAAAATTATTGAGGAAAAACTTGAGTTATGTAACATTGTTGAACAGGTCAGTTGGCTTGGTACGCCTTTAAATTTAGTTTCACACCTAGCTACTCATTTATCATTGTAACAAACACCATCATTGGAGAATTGTCTAGCATATCTTTCCTTTAGCATTGTAAAAAATGAAAACTCGTATTACTTTAGCATATTCTTAGAACATTCCTGAAGTAATCAAAATATTGTGTGTCATCCCTTTTATTTGTGACATACGAACCCAAATTTGACTGGAGAATGAAGGCCCAACTCAAATAGTTTTCTTTTTGAGAAGATATTGGGCTCTCCAACAACTTGAAGGGCTATAGTGGGTTAAACCAAACCAAAGCTTCTCATCTTCTTTGGGTTTTTCTATTTAAATCCTACAATTTTTTTTTTTTGGTTCACCACAATACTTAAATTATTAAGCTTTTGAGTTTTATTATTATGTAAAAAGACAAAAAAGTCATCCAACTTGATACTTAGGCCTAGTTTGGGATTGCTGCCGCTTTAAAAAAAAGCTGCTTCTGCTGTGCTTTAAGAAGAATCAGCTGTAAAGTAAAGCAGTTAAACGTTTGGTAAACTGTAATTTTAAAAGTGCTGTGAGTATGAAAAGCAGTGTCAGAGCGTTTGGTAAATTTTACCGTAAAAGTGTTGTAACTATTTATAATGACTAAAATGGACATGATGCTGAAAGTGCTTTTTACTAATCTGTTTGGTAAAAAATAAAACTGTAAAGTGCTTTTATACTTTTCTCCCTAAAAATTATATTAATCTTTGCTTAAAGAAAAGAAAAATTCAAATTGAATAAACTCCAACAAAGATAATTATGTATTGAATAAATTCCAACAAAGATAAAGAGATCACCACGGTAGTAGGTTCATACACCATCCTTGATATTGAATAAGTAATAAACATTTTTTTAAGGTTTGAATTGTAGCAATAAAAACAAATTGAAACTAGGCTTAAATAAATGGAAATAAAGAAAATGTCTAAGAAGATGCATGCATTAAACTTGCAGCAATCTTGTTCCTTAATGTTTCTAGTTCTTGTGCTCCAGGCCCTTGAGTAATATGATATTCTTCTTGTGCATCACCCTCCATCTCCATTGCATTTGGGTTGTCATTCACTTTGTCAAAATGAATATCACGTTGGGCATGCCTCCTTATATAGTTGTGAAGTGCCATAGTTGCAATTACTATCTTCACTTGCTTATCGAATGGATAGCTAGGCATGTCTGAGTAATGTGATAATATTTGTGAGTAACCCGCATCCACAAGATAATATTTTCCTGTAACCAATAAGATATGTTTAATTATAATATAAATTGAAAGTGAAAAATTTGAAGTTTAATGATATGCACATATTTGAAACATTACCATTTGGGGGTTTGGGAAAATTTAAAGCATTATTTCGTAACGCTGATAAAAATACTCTTGTATCGTGTGCAGTGCCTTCCCAACCTGCACATGCAAATATGAATTGCATGTCAAAATTACATGCACCCATTATGTTTTGAGTCGGTATTCCTTTCCTGCCAATATATGGTACTTGATCTTCATGAGGTATTGAGGCTTTAACATGTACGCCATCTATAGCACCAATGCAATCCTACAAACAATAAGAGAAACATTTCAATAAATATTACTTTGTTCCTAAAACAAATGATAAATTGTTGTATCTAATTTTTACCTTAAAATGGGGCATATATCTTGAATCTCTCAATATCTCTTCCGGGACTCCCTTAAACTCAGGATCCAATGGTTTTATGATATCAACGGCCATAAGGCATACAATATCAAGTAATTTACCAAAGAAATATTATATTACAAGTATGCAGATTATATAAACATAACATTTGAATGAAGAAGAAGATGAAGAAAAATAAAGCCCATTGACAACCAATGGAGCCCTCGCAAACCAGTAGAAAAATAAAAAAATAAAAAAATAAAAAAGCAAGAGCAGCACGTATATAAAAAGTTTGAGAGATTGAAGAGATTGAAGAATCTACCTTGTGAAAGAGATTGAGAGAGATTGAGAGAATGATTGTCTCCAAACTTGGGAGGCTACGTGAAGATGAACTTTGGTGTCTGTAGATTTGAGAGAAATACGTGAGGATAGATTTCTAACCTAATAAGGGTATTTGTGGAATTGCAAAAATTTCATTAAAGGGAGCGCGCTGTTTCAATTAAAAGCAGCTTTAAAAAGCAACCCCGAGGTTGCTTTTAAAAGTTGCTGTCAAAAGACCATTGCTTTTAAAATAAGCAGGATATTTTATTTTTACCAAACACCTTAAACTGCTTAACTTTAAAGTTAAGCAGGTTTTTGGGGAAAAAAAGCAATCCCAAACGGGGCCTTAATCCTAATACATCTATACACACACTCCACCACTCTTCATATTAGGTTTTAGAAAAACACAAAAACATAAACTCATTTACACCTTATTGCTAAATTGCTATTTTCTTTCAATCAAAGAAACTTAATACACTCTCATCTTTTCTTCACAAATCCTAAATACGGTATGCAAATAGTGGCTTGTAGGTCGTCAATTGAATTTGACAACAGTGTTTTTATCTCTTTAAGTGACGTAAGATTGAGGTGAACTTAGAGTGGTGAGGGGTGTGGGGGCTTTTCTTTCCAACAGCTACTGATGGGGCTGGGCTGCTGTAAAGAGCCAAATGTGTGAAATTGCCCCCGAGTCTAAGTTTAAGGATCAGACCCCAAGAGTGTTTCGAAAGGGTAGCTGAGCATTTGGAAACACTTTGGTCTCCTTCACCAATGAAACCAATAGTTGCTTACAGATAAATTCTTGGCTTGGCTTAAAAAGCTTGTGGCATGGAAGCTAAACACTCATGAGTTTAGCATGAACGAGAGAGAGCTGTGATTTCTTATGAGTAACAAAGGTTTAAAGCAAGGGGGAATGGATTTTAAAAGGATTCGTTGAGGGGAGAGAGGGGAAGAAAGATGAGGGAGGAGAAGTAAGTGGTTTAAGCAATTTTCCGGCGGCCTGACAAAAGCTCTGTCAGACTCTGGAATGGCTTGCCATAAGAGAAGATGGGAAGATATGGAGGAATATGGCTCGAAATTAAAGGGTTCCAAGGATGAGAGGTGATGCTTGCTCTCCCTGGATGTGGTTGCTTGCCTTCAATTGAGTTGTTTTGCTGGGTAGAAAATGTCTCCCTTTTATAGGCGCTGGAAGCTCATTCTTTCCAAGAAAACCCTAGTTGGTTCTCTCCAATTTTGCAAGGTTTTCTAATTTATTTATCTTATCTTCCTTTGATTCAACCTCTTTTTATGAAATCTCCCTCAATCCAAATACATATAGACAAGATTTTTGGGAGCTCTAGAGTCTTTCCGCAGCTGTCTCTGTGGCAATCTCCTATATTTGGCTACCATATCTCATTCTTTCCTCCCTTATTTCATGGCAAGAGTTGGTAGGAGAAATGAGTGGGTAATGACGCTGGTCTAAATGGTGTTTTGCTCAAGTATCATTTGGTTTTTTTGAAGGCTTGTGTTGGGATTTATCTTTGGCCATGTGCTGGAGATTCTCAGCAGCCTGCATACATAGGTAACTTTTGGCTTTTGTCATTGTTTTGTCTCCAACCATGTGCTGGAGATTTTCAGATATTTTATAGGTCATTTGAGCCATTTTTTTAAGGTAATGGGCTAGTTCACTAAGGAGATGGGCTAACTTTCTAAAGTAATTGACTATTTTACTAAGGTGATGGGTTAATTTTCTAAGGTAACAGGCTACTTTTTTTTTCTCTTTCATGTGTACCCACATATTTGGGCTCAAAAAATAGGTTTGAGTTTTTGGGCTCCTAAGCAGCCCAAAACTTCTACTTCTTGGCCCATCAATGAGCCTCGTGAATGCTCGTAACTATTCATATCACAACCTGCTCAGCAAGCCCCAGACATTTGCGTGGCTTGGGCCCACTTAAGCTTGTAGAGTGGCGTGCTGCTTATTTGCTTGGTGTGAAACGTGTGTAAGTGCATATGACGAACTCTTGCGTACCCAAGTTGAGTTTCTTCCTAAGTTAGGTGTCGTATTGGGCTAGAAATATATTTGAGCCCAGCCTTGAATTTTTGGGCCTCAACAAGGGATAAAATAGCGGGATGTGGAGTGTGGGGTGTGAGTTGATGAGTTTTTAATTTTTTTTTTCTTTCGTTGAGTGTGTATTTAGAGGTAGTTTGAGAAAATAGGGGGTTTTCTTAGAAATTGTGAAAATTTAAATTAAAAGTTGGAGTGAATTTAGAATATAATATGAAGTGAACAAAGAAAAATGCAGGATTTAAATAAAAAAACTCTCTTCTTTCTG